AGGGTGAGTTCAGCATGAGATGTGACTGGTTCTTGCTATTTTTCACAGCTCAATCAATGCTTTAACTTTCCTTTACGTCTCATATTGTAGCAGCAACAGCCATGTGCCGACAACAAGTTACAGCCACAGTAAAGGGTTCTTCTTCATTGACCAATCTTCCACAATTTTTCAGTCCAAGAAAAGCCACAATTCCTCCATCTTCAAATCACTATCTAACAACTTTTTCATCCCAGAAAAACATTTTTCTCCCACTTGGGGACACACACACGGACATCACCATTCTTGTTGCTTTCATCACCATTCCCACCTTAACCAGATAGATGCCCATGCTCTCGCATTCATATTTCAGCTCTAATATTATCTATAAGACTCATTTCCACAAATACTTTGAATCGAATTATAATGGGCGAGTAAATCAAATAAAATGTTTATGTTTCTTATTAATAACACTACCAAAAAAAATGTTTAATATGTTTTGGTTTTAAGAAAAATTAAATTGTTTAATATGTTTTGATTTTAAGAAAAAAAAAATGAAGTGTTACAAAATATGGTCATATTTTTAAAATTTTTGCATATCTATACTTTTTAGTTTTAAAATAACTGAAACCGATATTATATGTTTTGCTTTTTTAAAGAATTCATGTTTATAACTGTGCAAATATTTATAAAAATGTTAGTGACATTTTTTAAATTATTTGGAAATTATAGAATTTAGTTCTTTAAAGAACCTAGGTTTATAGTTTTTGTGAATAATTTAAAAAATGTCATTGGTAGCACTTTTGAAAATATTTATATAACTATATGCTTTTATTTGCATTCTTGTATCTGTTATCTACTGTAAGTGTAACTTTGTTTTCTTTTTCGTCGTCAAATGTAAATTATACTGTCATTTTCGTCGTCACTTCTCTGTTCTCCTTCCTTCCCTTCCTTTAATCAACACGAAGTATGTCGTCGCATTGTCACTACAAGCATCTCTGCTCTTCCCATTTCAAAAGTAGTTAGTTAGAAATTCATTCTTTCATCTTGCATTTTTTGTTTTATTTCATAATTACTTTTTTTTAATGTAAATATCTTTTTAATCTCTTTTATTCAATGTGAAGGTGGAAAAGCTACTGATGACTCAGTTTATTGATAGGAAATATAGTGATTCTACGGTGGAAAACATGTGAGGATGAGAATAATTTTTTTTAATATAAGAATAAACTTTGATTTAGAAAATAACCGAAACATAAAATACAAAATAGATTTTCGTTATGAATCGAAGCCTAAAGTTATATATATTTTTATTTCATCTTAATATATTTCAATTAAAGAATTCAATCATAATTTGTAAAATAACTGGTGTAAAAGCTTTTATCTTCATTAATTTAAGTTCAAAATCTTCTAATTTTGAAAACGTTAAAAAACATTAAATATGTTTTCTTTGCTTAAATTATTATAAAAATTATATTTTGTTTATAAATAATTATGAAGAATTTAATCTTATATTTTATCAAGATCTTGTAAAATATATTTTCCAACAATATATAAAATGATTTATATGTGAGAAAGGAGATTCTATAATGAATTATAGGATAATTTTCGCATGTCTTTGTTCTAAAGAATGTTTTACCATATGATATATAAGAACTAAATAATTATAATTCAATTTAAGAATAAAATATAATTTTTTATAGTAGTGTAGATTGAGGAAATTTAAAACATACAATTCTTTAAAAAAAAAAACACAGATTTCACGTCCACAATTTAAAATGCATGGTAAAATATTAGAGTCTAAATTTATATTATTATTATTATTATTATTATTATTGATCTATTAGAATAATTATATGACTTAATTAAAAATTACAAATATTAGATTTAAGTTAATTTATATTTTTATGTTTTTTAATTTTTATGCATATTTTATGTTTAACAATAGAATCGAGATAAATAAAAACAACTTTTTCTTGTTATTATGTTTGTAATTATGTATTTATTTTTTAAAAAATAAGTTTTTTAATTAAATAATAAATTTTATGTTTTTTAGTAAGAAAATTATATGTACCTATTTGTTATAAACCATCAATTTTAAATTTAACATCTACACAATTAATTTACAAAACAATATAGATGAGATTAGCTTTTTCAAATATATTATGTTGGAGTTTGTTTTAAATTTTGAAAATCCTTAGCATAACAAAGTAAATACAACTCAAGTTTGAAAGATTGGAATAAAAACAGACAATTTTATTACATTTGGAGATGACAATTCATCTATGTTGTCTTCTTTCTTGGACTCTTCAACTTAAACAATTAAATAATAAATACAATAAAATAATAAAAACATTTCATATTCTAAATAATTAAACATAAATAATTTTAATATCTATTTTGACCTTTGTTTGTTTTTATCTTTTTATTATTGGAAGTCCTACGACTAGAGATAAATTTATAAGTGGATGCAAATCTCACGTTACAAGTCCCGATTTTGTGGGGTTGTGTTAGGCTTAAAGTCCACCACTTAACATAGTATCAGATACATGATAGAGCCTATTCCATTTATGGACACTTCTTTTTTGGATAATCCAGTCTTTTGATCATAACCAAGATTGGCCTCTTCTAAAATTTGTTGTGAAAAATGCCTTCTTACATGGAGAAATTTTAGAAGAAATTTATATGGATTCTCAACCAGGGTATGACATATTCAATTGGAGTGAAGGTTTGTAAATTGAAGAAGCCTTCATATGGATTAAAACAATCCCCAAAAACATGGTTTGGAAGGCTTACCAAATCTATAAATATAAAGACTTTTGGCTATAGATCAAATAACTCTAATGACACCTTACTTTTGAAGAGAAGAAAAGGAAAAATTACAGCTTTGATCATATATGTAGATGACATGATTGTTATAGGAAATGACCAAGATGAGATTTCTAGTTTACAACAATACCTTGCATTTGAATTTGAGATGAAACAACTTGAAAACCTCAAATATTTTTGGGCATTGAAGTAGCTAGATCAAAACATGGTATTTTTTTATGCCAAAGAAAATATACTATTTACTATCGGAAACGGACTGCTTGGGAGTAAATCAGTTGATACACCAATTGAACAAGATCATAAACTCTTCCAATGTTTAAATTCAACAAGCATAGAGATATCAAAGGCTGGCAGAAAAATTAATTTATTTATCTCATACACGTCCAGATGATATTACCTATGTAGTGAATGTTATTAGTCAATTTATGTATGACCCATGAAAGTTTCATATGGATGTTGTTGAGAGGATTTTGAGATATTTAAAGTCTACTTAATATGGTATCAAAGTTACGTTAAAGCTTATCCTAGCATTATTTGTTGTTTGTTAGACATATTGTTCCACCTTCTATCGCCCGCTATTGGACCACCCATTAATATTTAATCTCAAGCTCGAGATGCATATACATCCGCATGATGGAGTATATTAGAAGTTTCACATCCACTATAGATAAAACCAATTTAGAATATATAAGTGAATGAAAATCTTATTTTATAAATTAGTTTTATGAATGAGTGAAGATTGAAATTCACTTCTTAACATTTATTATAATAAAATATGTATTTGCAAGTGAGTGCTTGATTTAGCATAGAAACCGATCTGAAGAAATGGAGAAGAGAATAATTTTCTTCGGAGAGGAGATTTGAATATTGTATAATTACTATTTTATTTTTATGTTTTTTAAGTTTTTCACTTTTTGATTGACTTTTTTTTTAATTTGCATGCCATGTATATTAATTAATATTAATTTTAGATTATCACATCTCAATTTAAAATAAATCCATAATATCAAATGTTTATTTAATTTTATTTAAAGTAATCTCCAAAATTTTATTTCATCTTAATGTCTAAAAATTATATTTTAATTTAATATATTTTTATCAATATTAATTTTTTTTTCAGTTTAAATAATCACTCACATGTTATCATAATATAATTTACATTTTTCACAATTTAACCTGAATTACTTTTATATACAAAAATAAAATAGTAGTTTTGGCTTTTTATCAATTAAATTATATTTTTTAATCTATTACATTTTTCACATTAGTCACTAATCTCCGTAAACTTTATTTTATTTTTCTTCAAATTTCTTCATCTTTCCTTTTATCCAAACAATCAAACTTTCACGTCTCTTTTCCTTCAAATCGACTTCTCCAAAATCCATTTGCAGAAACAAACACAAGCTTAGTGATTCCTCCATTCTTTTCTTCGGGTGGTTTGATTTCTTTTTCAAAGAATCTCTTTCTTTGGATACTTTATTTAAACTATGGATAATGATACTTTTGACAATATTTTTTTGATAATATTTTAACATAATTTACGTGTTATTAAGTGATTGGTTCAAAATTACTTCACAGTCAATAACAATAATCATAAACATCAACACCGATCAATCACATAATAATAATAATAATAATAATAATAATAATAATAATAATAATAATAATAATAATAATAATAATAATAATAAATGATATTAAAATGTCAAAAAATATTGTCAGAGTTTAGCTTTATCTCGAACAAGGAATTAACTATAAGAATTTGCATAATTCAGGATCTATCATTAGTTTTATTCACATTAAGGGATGAATTTTGGAAAGGGTGAAGGAAGGATTTAAGAGAATGAAAAGAAGATTGCGGTGTCAGGAAGTAATTAAGAAGTAAATATATTTGAAAATAAAATTTGCAAAAGATTTAATGAATATGTCTTTAAGAAAATTTTTCAAATTTTACAAGAAAGTAAATTTTTAGATTTTGATATCCAATTTTTTTATTTTATCCTAAAAAATAATTCTAAATTATATAAGTTAGAAAATTTCTTAAAAATAAATGAAGGTTTTCATATTTATGTAAGGAAAATATAAGGTGAAAAAAGAAATTTCCGAACAAAAAAAATTCAAAGTGGGCTTTAACGTTTAAGCCCAATTATATCATCCAAATTTCAACATCTGACTGTGTCACGACGTAAGACAAATAAAAACACTTGGTTAAATCAAACTCCGCGGCTGCCAGCATGAGCGGTCGCCGCCTCCACCGTGTTCAGCACAAAACCCGAACTGAATCTCTCCGAAGAAGAGAATGAACAACAGGATGCGCGTGACATTTACCGTGGCTACAGTAGCCATCGCAGCTACTATCATATCCGTTTTCTTGGCCGCGCGAAGGCGCAAGAAGCACGACTCCTCTAGTTCGTGCTATTTGCATTCCGAACAGAAACCACAGAGTGCATTCAAGCGCGTATTATCGGACAATTCTTACACTCAGTTCAAGCATCTCAACAACGACGGTACATTTCACACCCTGCACACTCCTTTCTGTGTTTGGATGCATATGAGGGAAGGAATACGTGAAAGTTCAAGTACTCGATCGTGATGCTTATATGTAGTAACTATAGGAAATATGTCATTCTAAGACTCTTCTGTTTTTGTTCGTGCGATTTTTTAGCTTGAGGTTTAAAATTTGAAGAGCTTAATGGAGTTTGGCGATATTTTCCGGATATTTTGAGTTATGAAATGGATTGAGTTTGAGGAAGGTTGAATCTGAAGTGACTTGTCATCGCAGTTTCATAATCGAGATTTTTTTATACAGAATGCGTAGAGCTAGAAATTCGTTATTTTAATTTTTTTTTGGATTCTTCATTTAGTTGTGTACGAAGGTTGTGAATATGAAACGGAGTTTAGTTGTTTTCTTGCAGAGAATGCTTCGAATTCGCATCCGTTTGAGGCGGAGATTACAGCATTGTTGAAAACTCCTCCGCCTGAAATTGAATTTGGAACTGTAGACTTAGAAATGAAAGATTCATATGTTTGGGTTCACACCGAGACGCAGTTAAAGGAATTAGTTGATGCGTTGAGTGAAGAGAGGTTTTTTGCTGTGGATACAGAGCAACATAGCTTACGATCTTTTCTAGGCTTTACAGCATTAGTTCAGGTAATTTTGAGCATTTTTTTAACACCTGGTTGCTTATCTCAGGAATCTGTTTGATAAATTTGTTGATATATTTGTCTTTTTATCTCATGGAGCAGATTTCTACAGTGGAGAAAGATTATTTGGTTGACACAATAGCCTTGCATGATTTTATGGGCATTCTTCGCCCTGTTTTCGCCAATCCTTCAATTTGTAAAGTATGTAACTTATCATATTTTAAAATTGTTCAAATACGATTTATAAATTTTGGGGAGAGGGATTTACTTAGTTTTTAAAAATGTAAAATATAATCGGAATAATACAAATTTTTTCCCCGTTTAATTATACTTTTGATCTTTCAGGTATTGTAATGTGGGATTTTGGTCTTTTATTTGTCATGTTGTCATCTCGTGTTCCATCTGAAAAATCTATTCCGTCTCTAATGTAGAACATATAAGGGGACCGAAATTGCTCATTTGCATTGCAATACCTAGTGGACCTACTATTGGAATTTTGGAGACTAAAATCATACAATTTTCGGAACTAGATAGGTATAGATAGACACTGCATTAAAAACATTTTCTATCGAAGAATATTTTAGTTGAGGTTTTCGTCTGTATTTTTTTCCATCCAAGTCTATTTATGACAGTTTCTTTCCCTCTCAATGGAAAATTTGTGGATAGGTGTTCCATGGGGCTGACAATGATATAGTCTGGTTACAGAGGGACTTCCACATATACGTTGTTAACCTCTTTGATACTTCAAAGGTGAGCTGCCTTTACATGTTGCTATTATCATGTTGCTGGACCATGTACCATACATAATCTTCCCCTCACGCATAACAGAAATGGAGAAGTTTGCATTTTACAATTGATTGGCGGTAACTTCTTCTAAATATGGTGTGTTGTTCATGTGCTGTAGGCATGTGAGCTGCTGTCAAAACCACAGAAATCACTTGCTTATTTGCTTGAAACTTACTGTGGTGTGACAACAAATAAATTACTACAGGTTTGACTTATCGAACTTAATCCTTCACTGAATGAATTTATTAATTTGCTGAGATAACTATTACTTGGTAAAATGCAATACCTAAATTTTTCATTTGCTCATGTGTCAGAGGGCCTACAATTATTTTGAGCATTATAAAAGAAATTGTTGGAAGTCCCACATCGACTAGAGATAAGGCCAAATTAAAGTATATAAGTAGGTGCAGACCTCACCTTACAAGCCGGTTTTGTGGGGATGAGTTAGGCCTCAAGTCCACTTCTAACATGGTATCAGAGCTATGGTTAGAGCCTATCCTAGCATTATTGGTTGTTTGTTGGGCATATTGTTCCACCCATTATCGGGCTGCTATTGGACCACCCATTAATGTCTAATCTCACGCTCGAGATGTATATACCTCGGCGTGAGGGGGGTGTGTTGGAAGTCCCACATCGACTAGAGATAAGGCCAAATTAAAGTATATAAGTGGGTGCAGACCTCATCTTACAAGCCGGTTTTGTGGGGATGAGTTAGGCCTCAAGTCCACTTCTAACAGAAATTATAAAGTTATGCCATTCTATTAGCTTTTCCCAATGGATGGTAGACTTTTTTGAGTCTTATCTAGAATGGGAGAATTTCTCTTCCATTCAGGGAACTATTTCTCTTTTATAAAGATTTCATAGCATTCTTTGTAATTATTCTTGCACTTGTTTGTTGGATAAACCTCAATTATAAATTTCTTTTGTACACAAGATTACAAATGAAACATTAGAAGGAGTTTGACCCCTATCAATTGATATTAAGACTAACATTTATTGTAATGAAATGGCAAACCGTTACAAATGTGTTGGAATAACATAATAATTGAGTATTGCTTGAATGGTGAATTTATACCAGACCTTATTGAACAAAAACAGAGAAAAATATGGAGATGCACGCTAAAAATACAATAGTTTGATTATAGAACGAAAATTTAGTGGTGAATTCATTTTCACAATCATGAGGGAAGATGTAGTAACGCATCTATTCTGACTTTACACTCTTCATAATTTAAATTGAAATTTAGATTGCTCTAGCAAGTTAGAAGAGATTTCTGAATCATACAATTGAATAGCTTCGTTTTCTACTTTTCATAAGTAGCCATCTGAACAATGAATTATATTGTGCCTGCAATCGTTTATAATCTTGTTACATTGGTTATTAATGATGCAGGAAACTGGATATTTAATGAGGTATATCAAAGAATAGAACTTGGTTTCTTATTTAGAAATGGGGTTAATAAACCCCAATTATGAGGACACTGCAAAACTTTGAGTGTTCGTGCCTCTCAATGCCAAGAGGCCCCAATTCTCAACAAAATATTACAAGATGATCTCTTTTTCCACCTCACCTCGTATGCCCTCTTGAACTATCTTACCTTACTAACCTAATGTCCTTAAGTACTAATAGAGCTATCTAACAAACCTTTTCCTATTTCTTGTATTAAAATCTTAAAAGAAAGACACAATGCTATTATTCTGTGTTTGGGATGTTTCAGAATTGATTTATGTTATATGCTTAATTGTAGCGTGAAGATTGGAGACAGCGCCCTCTCTCAGCAGAAATGGTACATTATGCCCGAACAGATGCACACTTTCTGTTGTATATTGCGAATTGTCTGATCAATGAACTCAAACAACTGGACAACGGTATTCATTCTTGTCTTATGTGAGGAAAGTGAGAAAAGATAGAAACGAAAAAAAGTTCTGATAAATGCTAACCATTTTATTTAATACCCAAAAACTTTAAAAATCTACCTCATCAAGCACTTGTTCCTTTTATATTTTGAAGGAAAACATATTAATTTATACCTGAAATATGCAAGATCTGCAACAAATGATTATGGTATGGCCTTAGCATTGTGTCATTTTGACCAGATAACTTTGATGACTTAACTGAAAAAATAAGTTTGATATTTGTCACTTCTCATCTCAACAATTTCTTAGGATGCTATGTTAATGTTGTTGGGTCTAAATTCTGAATTTATTATTATGTCAGAAAACTCTTGTTCCAGTGGCAAATTCCATTTTGTTCTTGAGGCTAGTCGGCGTTCAAACATGATATGTTTACAACTTTTCACAAAGGAGATTGAAGCATATCCTGGGGAATCTTCTGCATTATCATTATTTTCACGTCAAGTGTGTAGTCATGGTTCTACGTCTATATCAAATGAAACCCAGGTTTGCGGCTTCCTGTTCAGATTTGAAGTATTGTGAGTGGTCAAATTGATACACTGTTCTAATGTGATCTTCTGATTATGGCTTTAGAATATTGTGAGGCAACTATGCGCATGGAGAGATCTGATGGTGAGTTATGATATATAAAGGCTCCTTAAATTTAGATGCAATTATAGAATAGTTTTATAAATATTACTATGACTATCAGTCTTTCTTAACTTTCTTTAGTTTAAATACTGCTTTAGTTTGCACATTATGAGATGGAGCATAAATTCATTCTATGTTTGTAGTCATTTGAGAGGTCTCGTCAATTTTAATTTTTTTTCAAAATGTCGCAACATTTTTTATGTTGTCTGGCAAAATAGAACTTATTTTAATAATGGACTAAAAAAAGAATACATTGAGAATTGGTTTTCTGGTATGTTGAAAATACTTGACATATTCAGTTATTTACTGGTGGGATAATTTTTTAAGTCTATTATATATAGCCACAGAAATATTTAGGTTTAAGTTCATTTCTGCCATAATATATCCAAAAAAGAAATCTACAAAACTAACTTTGTGATGGATTTGACTTATTTTGGAGAAATAATTACTTCTTTTGCTAACTTTAGTTTTTTGGGGAAAAAAGATATTATTTTCTCAGAAAAAAGGGTTTCCAAGCATGTGCTTAGTTAAAATGAAATAAATTTATAAATGAAGATTATGTAGCTTGCTGTACAAATTTTGATGTAGTGCTGATAATATTCTTATTTGGTGCCAAAAAATTGTTAGTAACATGAGTTGATTATTCTGTGGCATGTCCATACTTCAGGCTCGTATTCATGATGAGAGCTTAAAATATGTACTCTCAGACCAGGCAATTGTTGCTTTGGCAAGTCAGCCTTCAGCTAGTCACTCTGAAATACACAAGATCATAGCCCAGGCTGACATCAATATGGAAATGGGTGTGAACTCTTTCATCATTTCCTCGTCTCCTGTTGTTTGCAGTCACCTCAGTGATATCTATCATATGCTTGCAAACAAGTTGGTTAATGATGATGATGATATTTATTCAGTGATTCTTCAGAAGTGTATAGGTCAAAATGGGAGTTGTCCACTTTCAATATTTAATTATGCTTTGTTGATAAACAGTAATCTAAGACCTAATTTAGCCCATAAACAACTGGGCCTAAAGAGTTCTAAACAATATTCTCGGAAGGCTTCTCGAGATTTGTTTGTTCAAAAGTTCTCTTGTAAATCTCCTGTTTATCACAATTGCCGGATATTTGCTAATGATGGGAGGCTACTTTGTTATTGTGACGAGAAGAAGCTTAAATGGTTTGTGCACTTCATTTTTTCCTAGGTTTTAGACTAAAAGTTTCTGTTGGTTTATCTTAGATTAATATTTAGATTTCCAGGTATCTTAGTCGGGATCTTGCAAAACTTGTTGACGAGGATCCCCCAGCTATAATGCTTCTTTTTGAACCCAAAGGTCGTCCAGAGGATGAAGACAATGACTTTTATATCCAGAGCAAGAAAAATATATGTGTTGGATGTGGTGAAGGAAATCACTATTTACGATATCGAATCATCCCATCATGTTACAGAATACATTTCCCTGAGCATTTGAAAAGCCATCGTTCTCATGATATTGTCCTACTTTGTGTGGATTGTCATGAGGTTGCACATGCCGCAGCAGAAAAGTACAAGAGAAAAATAGCTGCTGAATTTGGGATTCCTCTCTACCTTCGGAGGGTAGTTCATCCAGGTCAAAAGACTGAAAAACAAATTGAAGAGGGTGGTGTATCTCCATTACAGTTACGAACAGCTGCTATGGCTCTTTTACGCCATGGACCAAGAATGCCTCTCAATCGCCGAGAAGAACTTACTGAGGTTTGCTTGTATTTGTGTTGTTATTTTGGTTGCTTTGACACAGTATTGACTATTGTAGTTGCCCACATGATGAAATTCTATTCAATAGTTTCAACTAAACGTTGTTAGAGATAGCCAAGTTAAATTGATCTGTTTAAGGAATTTTTTGCAGATAGATTAGATGCATTATACCTATATAATATGGGTTCTACATTATCCTTCTGTAGTGATTATCATTGTTAGTTATTTGTTAATTTACATGCAGATTATAAAGAGATATTATGGAGGAAGGGACATATCTGACGAAGATCTAGAAAGAGCTTTGCAAATTGGCATGACGCCTCATGAGAGAAGACGATTTGAGAAGAAGAGAGGGTTTTCTTTTAAACATTCTACAGGGAGTACTGCTACAGTGCCAGAACAGAATAATCATATTGGTTGCTCACCCAGAATGAGTAATGTGGATGACTTAAAAACTGAGGCTCATGATGGCTCATATGCAAATGAAGTAGATACGGAGCTCTTTATGAGAAAAGATGATTTTAGAAACTCCACTTCAGCTTCTGATGTTACAGTTAACGGACCTGACTCTACAGCTTTCAATGAAGATGAGATTACAGTTGCAACTGCATATTGCAATGAGGGCTGTGACTCTGCTGCTGTAAATGTTGATAACAGCTGTCTGAACAGAGCACAAACAAATGGACTTGGTGACTTGTCTTGTTCTCCCAATGATGAAAAATCTATACATACCGAACATAATTCAAAACTCTCTCTCTTGGGACATGGACCTCATGGGAAACAAGTTGTAGAACATTTACTGAGGGAGTATGGTGAAGATGGCATTCGAGAGTTTTGTCAAAGATGGAGACAAGTATTTGTGGACGCTGTAAAACCACGTTTTCTTCCTGGTGGTTGGGATGTAAAACACAGGTATGCTATGATTATACGTTCTTCTATCTTTCTAATCACAAGTTATCATCCTTATGCTGGTCATTTATGCTCAATGAATATCTATGTCATATATTCAATATACCTTTTGAGGCATATTGATATGGAATCTGTGTTACAAGAACATAAATAATACTCGTCCTTAAAAAAACTGAGAATATAAACAAGTCATTTTCTAGTTGGTGCAGAAAAGACTAATTATTTAATATCCGAAAAAGGAGGCTAGTTTTAGTTTCATACATCATACATTGCGAATACATTTATATTCAAAATTTGGCATCACATTATTTAGACAGCCATCTAATTTATTTATTTATTTTTATCGTTCTGTTTCCAAGGTAATTGATGATGCTTAAAATCGTCCTTAATATATCTTGTTAATATCCCAAAATCTTTATTTTATTTTTACTGTCTATTAGGTAGTTATTTGCAGTACACTGTAATATTAATGTGTGTAGAAACTGAGTTTATCATTCCTTTCCTCGAGGCTTTGATTTTGGACACTATTTTTGCCAGTGGAAGAAGGGACTTCGGAGAGTTCAGTGTGTACAAACCAGACAAGAGAGCAGCTTCAGCCACTGCAGAGTAATTACAGTAAGCTGAATGTTTTTGGTACTTCAATGCCGTCAAAAGCTATCTGATAGACGTTAATTTCATTTTTTGTTGATTTCACTATTTGATAACTCCGAGTACTTTCGCCTTTTTGTGTTGTAACGATAGCACAAATAACTTTCAAGGACATTTTTGCCATGCTATAATTATTCGAACATGAATTTACAAAAGCAACAACGCTGTGACCTGTTTACCTAGCATAACCTGCATTTAAACGCCTCGAGCGAAGCAAATTCGAAGAGAAAGAACCATATTTAGCCATTCAAAGCCCATCAGCGGCTAAAGCATTAAAAAGGGTCCGCCCCTTTTATTTGAAAAACAAAATCCCATTTTCTACTTTACAAACTTTAAAATTAGGGTAGAAAGTATATTGACTGAATATAACGTTTACTTTCATTTTTTTTTTCTTTCCTTATAAAACGATTTCCTCTATATATGAGGAAAACCGATACGTAATAAAAGATAGTAGCGAATGAATGAATGAGTATTCATGATTTAATAATCACGTTCGGAATCCAAGCTAAAGAAATATCACCATAAAACATGATTATTAAAATTAGAATTAAGTGCAACTTGAAACATACTATTAAAATGAAACATACTACTAAAATTAGATTACGGGTGGATTGTTACATCTGCCATTTTGTTTAGTGATATAGAAATGAGCATGCTCTTGTTCTGTTCCAATAGACTCCCTTTTCTTATCTACTATTTTTCATATATTTATTTTGGCAGGAATGAATAAAAAAGGCTTCGGGCTTCAGATTGTAGCGGATGAATACAAAGTTTTAATTAGTATTGTGCATGAAAATTCGACAACCTGGCAATTATACTTATTGCTGCAGCTAAAAAGACACTTTAGATAACATGTAGGCGAATAATTCATTTCATTAGGAGAGCACTTAAATTTTGCAAATAAATATCTTCCAATATTGATGTTAGTCTGACATCCATATCCGGTTACAAAATTTGTGTATAAAACAAAATCCACTTTTGTCCACCTAACGAGCAAAAAACCCCTCGGTAGTGCGCACAAGATTAAAGGATAAACGATTGTCCGCTCCATCAAGCCCTTAAATCTTCTTCTAATAGAAATCTATGCCAGAACCATTAAAAGTTATGTTGAGAATACGAAATTGAACAATAGTAAGAAAACAGCAACTATTACCATGACAAGCAGTTATAGTGACAACAGCTGTGATTTGTGGTCAATGCCGTTGAATATGTAGGTTCCGGACATTGGTACGAATTGCTTTGTTATGAGCTGCCAGAAACATAAATAAAATGATTCCCAAATCAAATACAATATTCTTAAAAGGAACAAACAAAATTAACTTCCGCTGTTAGAACATTCATTTAAGACGATTTTGGAAGACAATGACTACCTGAAACTACAAAATCCCATTATCATACGGTGAACGACAGCATCGATTCAAATGCATCGAGGAGGAATGTTTAATCGAAAAACTGATTTTCCACAAAAATGGATAACTATTCGACGCTTACGTGCCATTGTAGCATGTTAAGTCCAAACAACAATAAGGTGATTATCCATATCTATAGTTCAATGCTTAAGTTAAACGAGTATGAGAATGCGTTGAGGAATACTTACCTATCATACTACAGCTATATCTAGCTTCCAGTATAAACCTCTTTACATTGGTTCCCAACCACTACACCTCATTTTCTTAGTTTTTCAGTAGCGTTCACCTTCACATACATTATTTAAAGGAGGTTAGTGAGAAATATCCTCATTCCCAATATGTATGGCATGGATCCCCTCGTATGAATCCATTATCATCGTCACCTGCTCACTAACAACCTTCCGGACCTAAACTCTGATAATATCAACAGGAAACTTCATCCACTATAAATGTGGGCCATATATTTTTTGTGTAGTCCAGAGCTTTTATAAAATTATTGCAATGTTATTGCCCAAATCCACAATCGTAACTCTTGGACTCCATTTTATTTTCTTAAAACACCTAAGATTTTGGTTTTATGCATACGGGAGCAGGTCATTGATAAAATATTGAATTGGGGTCCAGTGAATAGGACATTGAGCAGGAATAAGGATACTGCTTTCTGGTTTTGTATCTGAATCTGGATACACAATACCCGGCCAAGACGGGCCATGATCATTGGCCTTGAATGCATTATGATGAATTGTGTTGGAACAAAGAATTTTCTTTATAAAACCTCCCTCGCTCAAGCAGGGATCATTTTAAAAGATGGAAAAATACAACAAAAGGCCGAGTTTATATGACTTATTTTTAAGCATGTAATTTGTATTTAGTGTCTCCTGTGTTAACTTCCATGGCTTCGGTTAATGGAAGATAAAATGTGACTGGACCAAGACGAGGATGTAAAATTTTCTGACTACAGGCTAAGAAAACAACCCAAGACGATAAAAAGCTTGCAAACAAGACTTTTCAGGATGAGCTAGAATAGCTAACCTTGATCACTTCTTGCGATGCAATTCCTCCAACCAAAGCAGCAACAGCATGAAGCTCTGCAGCACCGAAGCGACACATCTCGTTGATAAGGTCCTCAGCCAAAGTGGCGCCATTGCATCCCAAATCATTAAGTAAGCCGATTGCTGTGCTCTTTAATCGAGGTATATCCTCATCCATGGCACTTCACGACAATCAACGAATAAGCAAAAGCCAATCTCAAAAATAAGTACCATTATAAAACAGGAAAATATTGAGATTTTAGACCCTGAACAGTGTGAAGCATCAATACCTGTCAAATTGGCCGGGAAAACTATTGTAATTGGCAGAAAACCGGTCAGCCGCTCGAAGCAAAATATAAATTCCCATGGCAATGCTGTAAACACAAAAAGCAGCTTTTCAGCAAAAACAAATTTCCACAGATTAATTTGTAATATGAAAACCATCCAGAAACATAATTTATAAAATGAACATAACCTGGAATCCTCATCAGTTAAGTACTTTTGTAAATCAGGTAAGTTTGGAGCATTAAACTCATCTTCAATTAGACGGTACCTGCAAACCTACAAAATGAAAATTAAGATCTGTACAGAAGATTTTGCAGGCATGTGCAATCGTGCAATTTGTCATATGCAATTCAAAATCAGTGACTCAGCATGATGGTCAGATGGCATTAGATCCGAATGATAAGGAAAATGAGGCAAAGAATGCAACCCACGTGACAAAAAAGAGTGACTGTATCAAAAAGTAGTTGTTAAAGGTGAAGAGAAAATGAGGAAATAAAAGGAAAAGGAGATGGGCAGAGGAAGGGGTGATCCTTGGCAACGTCTTCCCACTACTGGATTTTTCTCTGTCATGAAATCCTTCTTTCCCTCTGATAGACTTCCCTTCTATTTCTGTTTTGTCACTTTTATGAAATAGTGGAATAACGATTGTATCGATACTCACTTGACTTAATACAATCCTCTTTTCCTTATCTGCTGCCTTTAATATTTTGGGGTTCATAACACAATTGCACTACATACTAGACAAGGGGGGGAAAAGAAGCTTTGAGGGAGAAATAAACATTTGCAATCATAGACACAGAATATACCCAACTTCCATGATTCATTAAGAGCAATAATGACAGAAATAATACTCTACCATTAACAAGAACTTGGTGGAATTTTCAATCGATCTTTTTGGTCCCAAGAAAATAAACAATAGTGTAAAATTTTGAATGTTCATTCTACAGAGCTACAAATTTTTTTAAAAAAATAGCCACATTCTTAGAGTGTAAGGAAAATTGGATCAGAGAATCACCAAAGTGCCATTGAGTGGAACCAGAATGAGCAGTGATGGAATTAAATAGAACCTAACTAATACTTAATTCATTTTGAGCCAGCTTAAAAAATTTTAATCTAACTAAATTAGATTACTGCAGCAAACGGATGAAAGCAAATAAGCAGCCCTTTGGAGAATTCCTTAGAAGCCTTCGCTTAATCTAAATTGCACAATAAAAAGCATGTGTAGGTTATATATCATCTTATTTCATTTAAAGTTCAGTAGGTTAACAAATGCCTTCAGAACATTGGTTAAGCCACTAATGGAGTGGATAATTTCACAAAAATAAGTTACTAATACACCCTTGGTTCCCTTAAGGCAATCGTTAGCAACACCAGAAGAAAACAGTAGGGTATCGCGAGTTAAAAGACAGTGAGGTATACCACATAAGTAAAATCCACAATAGTTAAGACTATTCCAAGAAGAGAATGCCAAACTCTTTAAATTAATAGGTGCTTATAGAGAAGTTAGACAAAGAAGCCTCTGCAGAAGTTAAAATACATAAGTTGATTTTAACTTATATATGACATGAGAAATATAGTCAATTTACTTCTTGGATTCATTTTATATTTCTCTCTAGAAAGTGCTTGTTATGAAGTTTATTTAAACTAGCCAATTGTCCATTATATATAGATAAGCAAAGACCTTTTAAGACGGTGATGTGATAGCTAGACAGATTGAAGCAAATCATCATTCAAAAATATGGAGATCATTCACAATCATTATTAGCTATATAAAATTGAATCTGATCTGAAAGTTCACAAGCTTACTTTGAGTTTTCTTGCATTTTTACAGAAGCTTTTAATCGTTGACCTTGGAATGCTATTCGAATCTCTACCAATCTTCTTCAATATACCTCTAGCTACACGTTCTATTACAAGAAAATCAGCCTCAGCTTTGGCGTGATAGATATTCTGCAAATTCACATATTGCCTGCAGGAACATCAAGATATCTCAGTTAAATAAACTAACTGTTCAAAAGGAAAGAACCAGAGATATTTGGCTGAAACTATATGCATGAAGACAGCACAGAAATTGATTTATGTAAGTTTATTATGTTAATTAGAAAAAGTAGAGGATATATTATTTCCTCTAAATTAGAGATCTTGTTGCCCATACACTGCTATAAAATAAATGTAAATATTCTATCATGATTTTTCAACACTAATGATCATTATTTTTTAGAGAAAATAAAAATTGCTCTGAAAATATGTAAAGTTTTTGGCTAATTACTCAGTGGAAGAAGTCATATCCGGTATAGATCCTTCAAGAGGTGCCTCCCCGCCCCCTTCATTTGCAATGAAATCCTGCAAAAGGGTGAGAAATGTACCATCAAATCACCAAAGTATAGGCAATCAATCAAGATCACTAAC